GCCTTTTTCTTCTTAATGGCAGGGTATGTTGCGAAATATAACTCGTATGAAATGCTGAGATATTTGCAAAACTCCGAACCGCAGGTGCATGCGGTGGGGAACGGGCAAAACGAAGGGCCCGGATGGTGTGGTGGCGAAGTGCACTGCTCCCCGGTAAGGACAACAGCGCGTGTTCGTTTCCCACTGCATACACCTGCGGTCCGCAGCATTTCATAGGACTTATTGATTAGTTCAAAAAACGATAGTCATTGATCGATGAATTCTGTATCTTTAGTTCGCCATTCTCTATAGCTGGCTTTTGAGAGTTTTCAGTTGTCATGCGAAGAAATAAAGTATCAGACATTTTCTCCCTGCTGATATCATGACAATTTGGCTAACATCTCTTTTGCAGCACCAATAATGTTACATAAAAATCGTCTCTACCATCGTTTGTAATATCGCACAAAGTCCGTCAGTTGTTTCGGCCGTGTTCGAGCGCTGCGCAATGTTTTCTGAAAGTCGAAATAGGCGAAGAACTTCATCTTTCTATTACTATTTTTATTATAAAAATTAAACCATGAAGGCATATTGTCGTTCTTTCAACAGGGTGTTCCATTAGGCTTTCTGCTCATTCCTCATACCCATGTTTTACCGTTCCGCTTTCCAAAACGTGCGGCAGGAGGAGTCGAGGAGTTAAAAAAGTAATGAACAGGGCAAGTTTTTCTTTATTTTCTTCACTTTATCTTTGATGTTTTTTGAAGCTGTTAAACGTACTCTTTTTCAACTCCAGAGCTTCACCTTATTGTCTCACCTCGAGCCAAATACACATACAGTTGCAGCCATAGGAGTGATTCATTTCATTGAGCTGAGTTGGCAATCCGTCTTCTCAATAGTATCGTCAACCTGAGACTCAATCAAAGCCCAACCTCTTTAGACGCTTTATGAAAATCCGTTCCGTTTGCGTATTGCATCATATTGTAGCAACCATATCACTAGCAACCCGATGCTGAAATAGGTGCACCTATCAGCTTTCACTGCGATTCCAGTTCTTGCACGTTTTCAACACTAGCGAAGTGTAATTTTGAAGAGATGACATTTACCTTGTTGATCTTACTTTTCGAAATTAGATCTACATTATTGTAAAACGACGCAGTCCAGATGGTTTTCTTTCCTTTGTTTGGTTGCCTCGCAATCCTGCAGCTGAGGTGAAAGCGAAGGAAGGCTATGTAAACGATTGAATATATATATATATATATATATATATATATATATGTAGCTTATTTATATACTTGTGCGCAGTTTGCGATTTCTATTAATCTCCAATTTCTTTGAGTTTTGCTGGTTTAGCCAGTCGATTTCCCGCAGTTCGAGGTCAGCCTGGTCAGAGTCTGCCACAGGTCGTCACCACTACAATCAATCGTTGTCTTTGTGGATCAGAGAGAGATTTGCTACCATGCGACTAGTTTGGTAACAGAGCAGTGGTTGATGCTGGCATTGGTTCACTCTTAGCTGAGCTCTCTGATGGCTGGGAAACGCGGAACTCTTTCCAGCTTTGGAGATCTTGCCGGAGGGACGAATCTCCCCGTTGTACATCCCAGTCAGACACCCAGAAACACCTCCCACCCGCGATGAGGCGGAAAGCCATTGGAAAGATATATAGACATATATATATGTATGTATATATATGTATTCTATTATATATGCAATATATATATATATATATATATATATATAAGGAATGCACCCTCCTTTCACTTCATAAAACATCGTAATATGGTTGGTTGAATATCTGGCCAACACGCTGACTCGAGGTAGTTTACCGATGTTCCAAGTCATTGCTGGTGTCCTTCCTGACAAGTTTTGTACCAATTTACAGGTTGCAGAAAGACGTATACATAGCAGAATTTCAGCCAAATTGATGTATAATTCTAGAGCAAGAACTATCACCTTTAAGTGCATTGCTCCAGTTATTTTTCTGGTGAGCGTGAAGTTAAATTTGGTGAGAGACATAGATTTAAAGTGAAATGTCCAAGCTATCAACGAGATGTGTCAGTATACCAAATGAGAATGAGAATTGGTTTATAAATCACAGCCGCTGAAAAATTCACTCCTTAGGTGTAACATCTCATTACCTCAATAATGTCGAAAAGATGCTTGTGATAATCCCAATATGTTGCATTAACGACAACAATGGCTGTGGTAAAATTAATATTAATTAAAAAAACAATCGTATGAAGTTGACCCGGATGGTGTAGTGGTGAAGTGCGCTGCTCCCCGGTAAGGACAACAGCGCGTGTTCGTTCTCCACTGCATACACCTGTGGTCCGGAGTTTTGCAGATATCTCAGCACTTCATACGAGTTATATTTCACAACATACCCTGCCCTTAAGAAGAAAAAGGCAGTAAATAAAAAAGTTAAGATTAAAATAACAATCTTTGGTATTTACTAGAAAAGCTGGTGATGCTCATGTAGATGTGTTGTGCCTACTTTGTTCTCATGTTCGAATTACTCATAATGTCTGATTTAACTGTTTAACATGAGTTCCTTCAGGGCAACGCCGTAACTCAATCGAGGATCCTCAACGTATTTCCTACTTCGTGGTGATCATCCGCGTTTAACCCAATTATTGTGAGATATGAGTGGCTAATTTTGCACTTTTGTATTTTTGTATAAAAAAATTGTGTTCATTTCTGATATTTTTGCCATATTGATGTTATTCAATTAATCTTGATGAATTTAGCTCAAATGTTTCAAATTTTAAAACGAAGTTTAGCTGGGTTGACTATCATTGAAGCTTTATCCTTTATTTAATTTTCTATGGCACACTGTGGACCTAGTCCATCATTCGGGTTTTGTTTAAAGTTTAAGGAAAGTAGCTGTAGACAAGGTCAGATCAACCCCGCTGACGGGTAATTGCTGTGGCGAAAAGATCGATAGAAATAGCTGAGAGACAGGCGAAACGAAGGACCCGCATGGTGTGGTGGTGAACGCGTTACTCTCCGGAAAGGACAGTGGCGCGTTCGTTTTCCACCGCAGACACCGGCGCTCCGGAGTTTTGCAAATATCCCAGCATGATTAAGGTTATGTTTCGCAATATACTCTACCATTAAAAAAGAGTAAGCAATAAATAAAACGATTAAAAAAGGGTAAAGCTTTCGGCGCTGATTAATCCCTGAAGGACTGTGGACTCGACTTTATTAAGTATCAAATTTGCTGAGATCGTTTGATTCGTTTCTCTTGTGACGTGAGCAGCAGCTTTTTTTAGATCGCGTGTCCATGGTTGATCCTTTTATGGTCTTCTTCAGACATGCCAAAATTCCTGATGGGAATATGCCTAAGTCCTCATCACGGTTTACAAGAAATCGTTCGAATTGTCTTATCAACGGTAAGGCCAGAGTTGAGGGCTGGCAGAGTCATCGTACGTTTCATAATCACCGTTGCATTTTCGGTAATGTCACTCAATAAGAGAACGTGTTGAGAGAATTGGTAGTTTTCAACATTGTAAGTTAGTAGGACGGCAATGTTGTCTGCAAGTAGATAAAAATCGCTGGACTGTCGCAGTTCGTCGGGTGTGATGTCGCTGTCAATCATAAAGGTTTTGTTCTCTCCAGTACGTATTGAACAGCGACAAATCAGACGATTCGTCAGTATCATGACAGCTTCTCGAGTATCCGGATCCAATGCTAGTCTCATGCCAATTTTCACCGAGTAAATCATATCCCCACGTGGATTCACAGCGAATAATTGTGGTGATATGAATGCATCCGGTGCGTCGAATTCGAAAAAGAGCTGTCCGCCAGAGACCTGTGATGGTGGAGACGTCTTCGAGGTACACGTTAAAAACGATGAAATAAAACTTTTTATGTACTAACTTGCTGGACCGTAGTCGGCCGTGTCGATGTCATCAGGAACTACTAATGTATCAGGATTGAATGGCACAACGTCATCGTTTTTAACGTGTACCTCGAAGACGACTCCACCATCACATACCTTTATTAAGTATCGTTGGTCTGAACATCTGGGGTGTATATCTGGCCTTTACAATGACTCGCGGTGGCCTACCGATGTAAACCTTTCATCCTTGAACTGAATAATCTTTTCCATCGTAGTAACGTTTTCTGTTACTGTTATGTGGTAAGAGGATGGTTGGCAAAAAACATCCGACAACAAATACAAATAGTGAAATGTTTTCAGAGGTAGGAGGTTATTAATCTTAACACCTGAATTGGTGAAGTAGCGAAACAATTTTTAGAACAGAAAGTTTGAACAGCATGAAACAGAATAAGGCTTGCCGCCGGGATCATTTGTGGTTCCTTTCCAGGACCTGCGTAAAAGTATCTTTAATAGGGTCTTACTCCTTGGGCTACTTAAATTCTAGGCAACGAAGACAATCGGCTTATAATAGGATTCTGGTTGTATTGACAAATAGACTAGGTGTACATCGTAATGAAATGCAGCGCTCCCTAACTTAGGTAATATTGGAATGCGATGATCCTCTGCTATATATCTCATCTCTACGCCAAGAAATACCTTCAGTGACGTTGAAGAAAGAGTAAAGAGTCAACCTCTATTCGGTCTATATTGGCAGACATATTCTCGTCACGGCTACCTTACTACGCAAGGATTTCCTAAGATTCCAAATAAAAATACTAGGCCAAGTAATCAATGTGCATGGACGATGGACCAGACCTATCAGCGTTTTCTTCAGGTGTACCCTTCAAACGAGTAATCGACTATGTATGAAAATATAAGGATTTGTTTGGAGTAGGACATTTTATTATTGGAAGACAAATTTTTATATTCGAGCCTCCCCAGTTTTGATGTGCTCTCACACTCCTGGTTCTGCAGTGCTACAAACACAATTGCTCTGATTCATTTGGGCGAATATATGTTGTATAAAACACAGGCTGTTAACACTGGCTTTAATGCTGCTGTTTCGCTTAAAAAACGCCGATTTGGGTTTTGTCGTCGGCTCCAACTTGAGGTTGCTGTCATTGTACACATCACATCGCATCAGTCGTCGATCGACATGTGACTCGAACGGAAGCCTGCGACATTCTGTTCGAACCGGTCGCATGCCAGAGTTGTAATGTGGGCTTTGCTTTCTCGTAAAATACATAAAGTATTGTGTTTTGCAGTACATGTAAAAGCTGTAACCAGTTCTCAGCAAGCAAGGAAGCAACCACAAGGTTCTTCATGTAGAGTAGTTATTTACCTGTTGTCCAGTTGACTTCCATTGGCATTCAGTCGACAACGGACTTGTTTTACAGCTCTTCTAAAAAAAGCACGTTTCTACTGTTACTGATTTACGACGCTTACAAGTGCATTGGTGTAAGCATCAATCTTCTTAAGTTGGAAGCCAACATCCACACGATAACAAGACTCATTGAAATATCGCGAAAGTACTAAAAAAAGCCTTTGACTCAACTGAAATAGAAGCAGTCATGGAAGCCTTTGATTTTCAAGGAGTCTCTACTCAGTACCTAAAGATTCTTCGCGCGCTCTACAAAAAATTCACAACCAAGACATCACCATTCTACAACGATAGTAACATTGACGTCAAAAGAGGAGTTAAGCAAGGTGATACCATTTCGCCAAAATTGTTTACCGCCACCCTCCAGAACATCATGCGAGCATTGGAATGGGATAATATGGAAGTGAAAATTGATGGTTGGCAGTTACACCATCTTCGCTTTCTGATTACATCGTCTTTATAACACCAAACATTAGCCAAGCGGAACGTATGCTTGACGACTTTGATAAAGCCTGTGGAAAGACTGATCTTCGACTAAATCTCACAAAAACGATGTTCATGAGGAACGGATTGGTTTTGTATGCCCCATTCACGCTCAACGGAACGAATATCTCCGAATGGTCCAGTTATGTCTACCTAGCTTGGGAAATCAATATGTTGAACGACTTAGCTGAAGAGTTAAACAGAAGGAAACGAGCGGCTTGAGGAGCTTTCAAGAGCATCGTGGATGTAGTAAAGAAGACAAACAACACCCGACTCTGGGCTCACCTTTTCGACTGAACGATACTTCCTGCCCTAAAATATGCTTCAAAAACCTGGTCGATGCGTAAGCTGGATGAAAGACCACTCAGCGTTACCGAACGCGCAGTGGAAAGGACGACGCTAGGAGTATCCCGTTCCACACAAGTAAGGGAAGCGATCTGAAGCTCCGACCTGCGTAAACGACCAAAAATGAAAGATGCCGTTTTGTACGCCAAACTGTTGAATATGGGCCAGACGCGTAATGCGTATGAATGACAACCGACGAGCAAAAGCCGTTAGTGACTGGATTCCCCGGGGTGTTAAGCGCACTGCAGGAAGACCACCGACTCAATAGTCGGATTTCTTCACGAAAAGCCTAAAAGAAATATGTGATGCTCAGCGAGCCCCTAAAACTAGCAAGACCCACCAGACTACTCTTGCACGCGACAAGGAAAAATGGAAAATTTGCTGGCGACCGCTCGAGTCACTCGACGATCAACGGGACTACAGGTGATATAGGCGAAGTTGAAAGCCCGTATCGGCAGTTGGAACTGGAACTGGAACTGTATGCTCCTAGTACATTCACTGCGCTTTCATTTTGCTCGCACTTTCCTGCGACTTTGTCAATGCAAGGAAAAACAGCAGAGCTGAAAAGTCATAGAGTAACGCAGATGTCTTTTGTTGTCCGTTCTTCCCTTTTCTTTTCTTGCCTTTCCTCATTTTCGTACTCTTTAATGTTCTTTCATTATCTACACTCATATGAGCGAAGAAAACTGCTTTTATTCTCATACTTAGTTTTTGACCAATATTTTGATACTTACTTGCTAGGTTCAAATAATGGGCTGTACAGCTTGTAATGCTGCAGACTTCCTGGGCCAAATGTACATGGCCCAAGCATTCGGAAATATTGTTTCTGTTGCGCACGAATGGAGTATCAGAAGCTAACTCATTTTTCACGAAAGCTGTTTTCTATAGGTTCAGCCGATTGATCTTTGGGCGGGTCTTCAAAATTGGTTAGCAATAGTTCGCTTTCAGGGATGATATTGTAATAAGAACAATCAGCGAAATAAAGCCGGTGCCGCCGACGACCTTTGAACCTAACTCCTTTGTTTTCCTAACTCAGTTTCCTCACGAGGTCTAGAATAGAGCTGAACAATTTTGGAATCATGTTACTGAAATTTCGAACCACACTCACTACACCGGTGTCAACGACAGTTATGAGAAATTCCGATTGAGAGGCTGACATTTGATCTTATGATTTTGTGTACTGTGGATGGACACGCCCACATGAAACATTGATCAATTTAATCACAGGTCATCCTTTCATCCATGAGAGTGAGGAAGCTTTATATCGTATTTCTTGATGCTTCGCTAATAGATTGCGTTATTGTGTGAATGTAGTTCCCAGGATCGACTTTCTATTGACCTCGGCATTGGAATATGGATGTGTCGTTTTCTTGTTCAGCAATCGCGAGGTTTTTAAACAGCATACATTTACTTCCGTAGAAAAACACAATACAATACAACGCTAGCTGACGTTTCGGCAGTATCGTCTTCTTCAGAGCCTGGAAGGGTATACTGATATACAGTCTACTAGGCCAAACGCTTCAATGACACTTACAAAAAGACGAAAGACTCTTTGGTAATTACATGATCAACAACTTCTCGAAAAAACCCACCCGCTTTTCTTGTGACTTCCAATGAGGAAGTTTAGAACAGCTGATTATAGTCGCCTGTGGTTGACGACTGCACCATCCCACATCAAAAATCGATGCGAACATATGGGATCAGGTCGCGTATGATCTCCGGGCATTCGTCCCTGCAATTCACTGTAAGGGTTTTGGCATTTATCCAAAAAGCCTCAAGGAGTTTTCGCGCTGGTGTTTTAGTCTCCTGTGCAAGGATATTGACTTTTACTTCAAAATTGTCTCCGCTATGCTTTTGTATCCTATGCGTGCCTAGTGGGGTGCTTCGTCTTAGTTTTCGTTTGCCATCTAGGTGTTCNCTAGGCCAAACGCTTCAATGACACTTACAAAAAGACGAAAGACTCTTTGGTAATTACATGATCAACAACTTCTCGAAAAAACCCACCCGCTTTTTTCGTGACTTCCAATGAGGAAGTTTAGAACAGCTGATTATAGTCGCCTGTGGTTGACGACTGCACCATCCCACATCAAAAATCGATGCGAACGTACGGGATCAGGCCGCGTATGACCTCCGGGCATTCGTCCCTGCTATTCATTGTAGGGTTTTTGGCATTGATCCAAAAAGCCTCTAGGAGTTTTCGCGCTGGTGTTTTGGACTCCTGTGCAAGGATATTGACTTTTGCTTCAAAATCGTATCCGCTATGCTTTTGTATCCTATGCGTGCCTAGTGGGGTGCTTCGTCTTAGTTTTCGTTTGCCATCTAGGTGTTCCTTTATACGGATACACAAAGGTCTGCCCGTTTCGCCAATTTATTCGTCTTCGCAAGTACCACAAGAAATCAGGAATATCGTACCTGAACTCATGCAATCACCGTCTCTACCTTTTGGGCAAATTATGCAGTTTTTTGTTGTACATAGACGGTCGTACAGGCGGTTGCGAACTAGCTGGCGTCTTAGAGTGTCCGGTGGTATTTCTATCACTCTTACGAAATTCTCTAGACCGGCCCTTATTAAGCAGCGTTTTATAGATGCAC